TGTGTGTGTGTGTGTGTGTGTGTGTGTGTGTGTGTGTGTGTGTGTGTGTGCATTTGCATGAGGCACGGCTTGTCATGTGGCAAGTGCAACTTGCCTTCCACTTCTCACATTAATTGAACAAATTTGTCGCATGATTTTTTTTTTTTTTGCCAATTGGCTTTAAGAACATAAAGCAGGATTCCTCCTGTATGGCTGTTGTGGGCGAGGGCGTGGTCGAGGGCGAGGGGGGGGCGTGTACAGCACCTGCACTTGTTCGATGCAATTGGCTGGCATTCATTTATTTATTAGAAAAATCCGCAACGTCCGCTGGCTTCTGCTGTTGGCTTAGCGCGTGCGTCGCCTGCGCGTTGTTGCTGTGACAACAACAGCAGCAGCAACTGCAACATCGCCGTCGAAGTCAGCTTGTCGCGGGCTGGGCAATTTTTATGACGTCTCTAAAAATCATACTTTAAACGTTTTCTCCCGTCGCTGCTGCTGCTGTTGTTGCTGCTGTTGCTGCTGCTGCTGCTGCTGTTGGTGGCTGCGACTGTGCGACTGCTGCTGGTGCTGTGCGCTGCCGTTGGCCGCCAGTAGCGTCATGGAGCCAGCGCTGCATAGCGCCGCAGCTGCCGTTGCTGCATCCTCGCAGGCGTAGCTAGCAATGCGATGATCGCTGCGCGAGCGCTCTCGATCGTGGGTGCGATGATGATGATGTTGCTGCTGCTGCTGTTGCTGTTGCTGTTGCTCACTGATTGCTGCTCCGTTGCGCTTGGTGGTGGCCGCCTGCTGCTGCGAGCGTCGATTGCCCAGCCGCTTCAGTTCGTAGTCGCGCGCATCTGCCGTATCGAACGTGGCCGCGCGCTGCTGCTTGCCATGGCGCGAGCCCTGCTGCTGCTGCTGTTGCTGCGACTCGTATTGCTGCGGGCAGTACTCGTCATATTCATGCTCATCGCACAGATTCGCATTGCATTGCTGGTGCTGGTGTTGGTGTTGGTGCTGGTGAGAATGTTGCTGCTGCTGCTGCTGTTGCTGCTGTGCTCGATGCTTCTTCGGTGGCAGCGGAATGGGCGGCTGCGATTGAGCTTGGGCTTGTGTCTGTGTGCTGGCTGAGGCTGCTGCCGCCGCTGCGTGCAGCGATGTTGCTGCTGTGGCCGTGCCAGTCGAACAGCTCGTGGCACGCCGCACAACATCAACACCGCCGCCGCAGCAGGCGCACTCCTACAATTCCGTCACAGAATACAAATCGCTGTTGGCGGCATGACCCACAGCTGTCACAGCAGCAACACCACCACCGCCGCCGCCAGATCCACCGCCCGAGCTGCGCTTCAGGGAGCGATAGAAGAGCGCCTGCTGCTGCTGCTCGGCCAGCAATTGTTGCTGATGATGATGCTGCTGCTGCTGCTTGCTGCTGGCGCTGCTCGAGACGGCGCCGTGGTAGTTGTTGTTGTGCTGCCGCTGTTGCTGGTAGTAGGCCGCCTGCTGCTGCTGCTGTTGATGGTGATAGGTACTGCTGTCGTAGGAGTGCTGCTTCTTCATGCTGCTCAGCACCAGCTGGCCTCCGTACTGCTGCTGCTGCTGCTGCTGCAGCTGTTGCTCGGCGTAGCTGCGCGCATTGTCCAGCGTTTCGGCGCGACGCGGTCGCTCTCTCTCTCGCTCCCTCTCCCTCTCTCTCTCCCTGTCACGCTCCCGCTCCCTCTCTCGCTCTCTATCCCTTTCTCTTTCTCTCTCGCGTTCGCGTTCCCTCTCTCTCTCCCTCTCGCGCTCTCTGTCTCGCTCGCGCTCATAGCCAAAGCTGGCAGCCTGCTGCTGCCGCAAGCTCGCCGACTTCGGAGGCAGCGTCTGCATGTGATTCGCATTGCTCGCATCCCGCGAATTCTTGTGCCGATTCTTGGGCGGCAGTGAGGGCGGCTGCTGCTGCTGCTGCTGCTGTGGCGGCTGCTGCGAGGCGAGCTGCAGCTTCTGTTGCGCCGCCCCTTGGGGCCGCTGCAGCGAGCGGTACTGGCCCAGCGTGGCGGCGCACAGCGGCTGTGACGAGATCTTCGACTGCGAGGCGGGCAGGACGCCGTTGCCGGTGGGCGACTGCACCGGTATCTCCGGCAGCGGCTGATTGACGATCGAGGCCGGGTTCAGGGAGCGCTGCACGCGCGGCGCCGCTGTCGGCGCTGTCTGCTGCGGCACAGCGGCCGCTGCTGCCGGATAGACGCTGCTGCTCTCAATGCTGTAGACGGCCGAGGGCGGCAGGATGTGAGTTGTCGGTGGATGATGGTGTTGCTGCTGCTGCTGCTGCTGCTGTTGCTGCTGCTGCTGCTGTTGCTGCTGCT